AGGAGAGAGAGAGAGAGAGAGAGAGAGAGAGAGAGAGAGAGAGAAACTTATGGGAGGAAATCGGAAGAAAAGAGAGAGAGGAAGGGAGGAGTTTTTCTTCAGAATGAGGTTTTTACATCAGGATGCAGGGCTATACCAAGGGGTGGGATTTCAAGGGGCAGGTCAGTATATTAACACAGTCCATCATGGTGAGGAGGTCTCAGCAGCAGGAGTTTGAATCACTGGTCATATCACATTCACAATCATGAGACAGAGAGCAAAGGATGCATTTTGCTGCTCATACCCCTTTCTCTGTTTATTCAGTCAAGCATCCCAGCCAAGGGAATGGTGCCACCCACAAGGGGCATATCTTCCCATCTCAATTAATGTAATCAATATAATCCCCACAAGCATGCCCAGAGGCCCATCTCCCAGGTAAGTCTAGGTTTTGTCAGTTGGCCACCAATACTAACCGTCACACCCTATTTTAGAAAGAAAGCGCATGGGGGACATGTCACCAACAACATATTGCAATGTATGGGGAGGTAGGTATACACAGTGCTCAAGGCTGTATGGAAAAATAACTGACAAGGGAATCAGGGTGGACATTGAAGTAGGGAGATGACAAGTTAGACCAACTTGGGTACATAGTTTGAGGCCAGCCTAAGCTTCATATGGAACCCTGCTTAAACAACAACCACCTGTGTGTAGATGTGTGGTGGTACACTATTATAATTTCAGCACTAGGGACAGAGGCTGAGACAGGTGGATCAATGGAGTTTGAAGTCAGTCTGGGTTATAACTATGGATTTGAGGCCAAGCTGGGACACATAGAAACATAATGAGACCTCCATCTCAAAATGCAAAAATAAATAAAATAAAATGGAAAGAAAAGATTACCTGACTATCCTATGCTTAAGATAGGACTTAAAACCAGGCTATAATACACTTAAAAGTGTACACTTTTAATCCTAGCATTCGGGAGGTAGAGGCAGGCAGATCTCTGGGTTTGAGGCTAGCTAGGGCTACACAGTGAAACCATGTCTCAAAACAGACAAAAACCAAAAAAAACACAAAACTGAGACAGAGAGAGAGAGAGAGAGAGAGAGAGAGAGAGAGAGAGAGAGAGAGGAGACTTAAGAAAATTTGTGGCCTTAAAGTTAAATTATATATTATTATGGTCTTAAGTATGTTACTGTGAAAGACTTTTTCTATTTTTAAATTTTTTAATTTGTGTGTGTGTGTCTGTGTATCTGTGTGTGATCAAAGAAGCCAAAAAATAGGTCAGAATGTTGCCCAGCTCTTCTGGACCTGACTAATAAACAACTGTGAGTCACCCCATCTGAGTGTTGTGAACCAAACTAAGGTCCTTTGGGAGAACAGCAAGTGCTCTTAAACCACTGAGCCATCTCTCCAGTTCTAAAACAATTAGGGGGTTTTTGTTTTGTTTTGTTTGTTTGTTTTAAATAGTTTTGAGACGAGATCTCATTTTGTAGCTCTGGCTGGCCTGAACCCATTGTGTAGACAAAATGGCCTCTAACTCAGAGATCCACCTGCCTCTGCCTCCCCATTTTAAGGATTAAAAGTCTGTGCCACAATACTGGGCTCAAAGCTTTTCTTAAATGGGAGTGTTTACTTTAAAGGTGCGTGTATTTTTCTGGGTGTTTTGTTGAGTTTTATAGTTATATCAGAAATTATGATAACCATGAATCTCTACTTTGTGAAAATATATTCAACTTTTTAACTTCCACATTTAGGAACAAGTTGTTGTTAATTTATGAGCCATTGCAGGGGCCCATAATGTGTCCATACACTGATCTGTGGTGTGACTATGCTGTCTCCTACTCCGATCTTTCTGAGCCTGGAAGAAGATTGAGTCTCCTGTCTATTGAGGTAGGGTGCCTGACTCAATTGCATTGGTGGAATAAAGCAATCCTCTTCTTGCTGTCTCCTTAAGAAACACTGCATGCTACACATTGAGATGTATTTACTCAAGATACAAAAACCCATCTACCAGATTAGATTATTTATAAAAATATGAAGATTTTTTTAAAGTGACAGATTATTGTTGTGGGTTGTTGTCAGGGCAGGTGGTAAATACATGCCATAGATTAAAGCACTGTCTAACCGGGGGACTACTGCTTCTGTTCTACAATCCCTAGAATGATGGGCCTGTTTGAGGAATATCACTGAAAGAGAGCTGTAATACATGCACGGCTCTCAGACGAGACCTGCACATGGCAGATTAAACATGCACTCCACAGAGGTTAAAACTCAGAAGCCTATGTGGTGGCTATGCCTTTCATCTCAATGCCTTGCAAGTGAAGACAGGAGAATCAGGAGATCAAGATCACCTTCAGCTATATAGTAAGTTTGAGGACAGCCTGGGCTACATGAGACCCTGTCTCAAAAATGAAATTAACTCCAAGAAAAATCAAGATTTAGAAGGCATCAGGTCACCTTCAGACACTGCTCTAGCCTGACTACCCAGAGAAGCAAACCAAGGAAGTGATGGGACAGGAATATGTATCAGTGAGAAACAAGTGTGAGTCATGAGCAGGAATTTTGAGTTAATAGAACTTACCCAGAGGATTTTAACAGTTACTCGTGAAGGATGAGGCCAAATTAAGAGCTGAGGAGGAGCGTGCAGCTGGTGGAAGCAGGGGGCTAACCTTGTCAAACCCACTCATGCTAGCTGTGTGTCTTGTTACCTTTAAAACTCATGGCAAGGGATTATTGCTGTCTCATTTTTAAAACAGAGATTAATACTTCATGTTTCATTTGCCTGTGAGCCCTCTGCTATTACCTGGCAAGCCAATTTGAATTTAGAAATTTCTGAGTCAAAACGTACTCCTTTTTCTACTCTACTCCCACAGCCCCATTCTGAGTTCTGTGAGTTAATGTGCCTTTCGAATGCTTGGTTAAAAGCTCCTTTCCCTTTCCTTTTCTCCCATGTGGAGATTGCTTGTCTCTCCAACTTAACAACCTTTCTCTCTTACTTAAGGGGAGATAAGTACTTGAGCCCAATAAAGTTGGTTTCTGCTCAGTTGTAGAATTCTTACCCAGAGTTCGGTCCTAACACAAACAAACTTCTTCTCTTGATTGTAAACTGCTAACTTCACACATTTGTTGAAATTTTCTTATTGATTAACTTGATATTATCCATTGAGCCAAACTGATCAGAGGATTGAGTAGCATGGATATCAACATGACCTGTGTATTTCTGCCTCATGTCCATGAACCACTGCTTAATGCTGGATATACTGTACCCTAAGGAGATAGAGTCTTGCTTACAACTTGTCCTGTGTTCTCAATGAATAACGAATGAGCTGCATTTTCTTCAACTTTGCTCCCTCAGGAGCCTAGAATTTTCTACTTTCCCAGATCATGGCATTTCCCACCAGACAACAATCATATTGATAAATCTATCCTTTGGCCAACCCATCCTCTTTCTCTTGAGGCTAGTCCCCAGTCCTTAAACCATCCTCTACAACCAGGAGCTCAGGCTGTCTGTGAGCCGGGCTCCATCACCGCACAAAGACATGGCCCTGTGGTCTGTCATTATCAGGAAGAACAAATCAGAAAGCATTGAACTTATGTTCAGTCAAGTCTGATCACACTGTCTTTCTCTTACTAGTTTATCAATCACTTTTAGTTTAAACCAGTTGCCTAGAAACATTTTTGTTGTTATTTTGAGGCAGGGTTTCTCTATGTTTCTCTGGCTGTCCTAGAACATGCTATATATATCAGGCTGGTCTCAAACTCACAGAGATCTGCTTGCCTCTGTCTTTAATGCTGTTATGAAAAGTGTTAGCTGGCCTCAGAAACATTCATTTATTGCTCAGTTATTCTCATTCATTTGTTTCTTCTGTTTCTTAAAGGTTCTAAGACTTTGAATTACAAGAAAGCCATCAAGGAAGAGACTTTTGTTTTCCTTGCTAAACACATAAAAATAAAATAAATATCAAGTGTTTCTCAGTGTTATTTATGTTAGTCTTAAAAATGAATGAATGAATGACTTTTTTTTTAAAAAAAGACAATCTAAGCAGCATTTGCAGGCTGTCCTATGTCACATGTAGCCCAGCACAGTTTTCCAGAAGATTCCTAGAGAATGAAAACAACAGATAAAAATCACAAAATGAAGAAACAGGAGCCACTTGTGGTCATCCACACTAGCCACAGAGCGAGACAGGCTTCCAGACAGGCTGCATTGGGCTCCTTTTTCAGTGAAACTATAAAAGGACAGAAATAACACATTTTATAAAAGTGATACAAAAAGCTTTTTGTCATTTACACTATTAAAGAAAAAATGAGTTTGCAAAATCCCAAAATAATAAATACTGCAAAATCTGTCAAATCACCAAGTGAAACTCTTCAAGTAGAGTACTCTGTTGGTACATAGCTATGGAAATACAGTTGTGGAGCCTCTCTCCCCAGACAGATCTCAGCAGAGCCACTGTGTCAGCTCTCCAGTTGAGGAACAGTGGTCCAAAGTTGTTTCTTAACTGGCCTTTTCCTGTTTAGGATCATGCAAGCCATCTGCTAGGACTGTTTTGAACTGGTTCACAAGATCAATTGTTAAATTTTTATTATTCTTCTAGATGATTTTCTGCTGTGTAATATTTTGTGTTCTGACAAATAAAGCTTGCTTGGAGTCAAGAGGGTAGAGTTAGCCACTAGTTAACCATAGAGGTCTGGAGGTCTGTATACAGAGGCACAGTAAGTGATAAGGCGGGGCAGAGATAGAATCATGGCCCTTTTGGTTGGAGGATCCAGAGAGGTAGGAAGTGACTGTGGGTGCTCCCTTACTTCTCTGATCCTTCAGGTTTTAACCGATATCTGACTCCTGGTTTTTACTGATAAGATTAATTAGGTTTATGTTTCAATTTTCTAATACAATGACTAAAATTAAAATAAGTCAGGTGCAGAAGTACATGGCTATCATCCCAGGAGGTAGGAAGCAGAGTCAGGAACATGAAGAGTTAAAAGCCAGCCTTGGCTACATTAGCAAGTTAGAGACCAACCCAGGTTACAAGAGACCCATTCTCTGAAAACAAAAAACAGGAAAGAATAAATAAAATTAAAGTACATAAACTTACAATTAATAAGTTACATATAAATGTAACAAACACTGCAAAACCTTCCCTTCATAATTATTTTACTACTCTGTGAGGTTAGCTTGAGTTCACCGTTGGCTGCTCTATGGGGAAGCGCTTTGAGGACTGTGCTGGAGCAGAAAGCAAAGCTGAAGGTTCTCCAGTTGGGAAAGTTATCAGGAAATGCACAGTGAATTTAAAAGTTTCCACGACGAACGTTTACATCAGGAGTATCACCAGAGACTGAACTACCTCCAAGTGTCGGCCCCCATGCTGCAGCTCGGGAAGATAGTGCTCCCACTACTGACAAGATAAAGCCCTGGCAACTCACCTGCTAATGGAAAAGAAAACAGCAGACAACATTCATCTTTGTCAAATACTTTCTGTCACTTTTAGCTACATATTAAGAATGCAGAAGTTCAGCAAAAGTCAGCAAAAGCATTAGAAGTCACGGAACAATGCACAAGATATTATTTTGGGTGCCATTTGTTGTATCAATAAAACACATTTTAAGTTTATATGCACATGTGTATATCACATACATTGTATGAATATTCCCTAAGTACCCGTGGGAAGCCAGTTTATCTGCATAGTGTTGATAGTTGACCCTTCACACCGCCTCAGTTTATCCAGTGGCTGCCAACATTTCCCCTCCTCCGTTTTCTCATTTGAGTCGTTCTCATCAAGATGAGGAAGACAGTCCCTTGCCAGTTCTCTCAGCTGTCTTAGAGCCCTGATTCAGGAGCCCTGAGATGCTGGCTACAGAGTTTCAAGAGTTCCACTTTCCTTCCTACCCTTCCTGCCACAGTGGCCTTCAAACTGATTGGATTGGTGCAGGAGGTGTAATTAGAGGATAGCGGGCCTCTGTGGAGACGGACTCCTTCTCTGGGTTTGACGCATAGATGTTTCTTCTGGGCTCACAAAGATCTGGATCTGTTAGCACGTGTGTTTTCTATCAGATGAAAATACATCTCCCCAGGAAAAAAAAACGAGATCGCTCAACTAAGAGAAGCGAGCAGACATGAGGAGGAGGTAGTCTCCCTCCAGTGTGGGTCCTCCGCAGGCTCTGCGGGCCGGCCCGAAGAGCCACCAAACCCCAGGACTCCCGGATGACTCTGCCTTGTGATAACATGAATGAACTCTCTCCCGAACTAGCACAGAGCGCTGCCTCGGCGTTTCTGCCAACTTCCCGAAACTGCACAAAACTGTGCGCAATTGTGTTTAAGAGCACTTGTGCCCCGGAACAGGGTTCATGGCTCTCATCAGATCCTCTCATCAGATCCTCTCATCAGATCCTCTCATCAGATCCTCTCATCAGATCCTCTCATCAGATCCTATCATCAGATCCTTTCATCAGATCCTTTCATCAGATCCTATCATCAGATCCTATCATCAGATCCATGAAGGAAGGATGCATCCATGAAATCTCACCAAAGTTCATGTAAATCAAAACAACAACAACAAAGCTGTGTGCTGCCATTTGCTTAGCGTCTTTTGCTCTAGTCTCGGAGTAACTACACGCACCTGAGGATACATGCGAGTCCGTCTTTATCTGATTTTTAACCTAGATTTCAGGCCTTCGTCTGAGTTTTAAATCCCAAAGGAACTTTGGGATTTCATTTGATTTCTTCTTTGCTAATTTCTTCACATACCAGCCTATTTGTGTGTGTGTGTGTGTGTGTGTGTGTGTGTGTGTGTGTGTGTGTGTCTGTGTGTGTGTGATATTGTTAGCACATTTCTCAAGACAGCCTAAATTAGGGGGCATTTTTTTATTCTCTTGATTTATGAAATTTTAAGGAAGATGAGCATCTAAGAAATCAGTGTCTTTATTCTACCAAAACTTTAAAAAATGGCTTCTGTGTATCTTTAGAAATAACTTGAAAGAAATAATATTAGGTATTAAGATCCAGTTTGAATGGAGACACAGTGACACACGTCTGTTGTCCTAGCATACTGACAATGGAGACAGGAGGATGGTGGTTTGAGGCTGGCCTGTGTGTACTACCCAGTGAGACAGGTCTCCACAATTTTTTCCCCTATTTCTCAGATGTTTTAAAATTACTTACAAACAGGCTTCTATGCTAAGAGGCCAAGTTATGAAATAGGAAGATTCATTATTGAGGTCAAATTAAAGCTGGACTCAGTATGAGTGAGGAAAGAGTAAAACATATGAAACCTATCTTGTTCTCTTGTGATGCTAGCTATCAAGCAGAAAAATAATTGAACTTGATGAAAAGCAAAATAAAGTGTTCCCAATACTACGCATTCAATATCTTTACTTCAGGAAAAGCTAAAGCAATTTCAGGGGGTTATTTTTGTCTAAAAAGTAATTTATTGCTTGGGTAAGCATGACACATGGGGTTTTGTGAGCCCTGCTCACCTGGCTGGAGCAATATTATATCAGTCTTTGTAGTTTTGGTTCATTGTACCTACGGCACTAAAAAGAATTCTTTGAATCTCCCCTGGAATATAATGTGTACAGTAGTATAATAAAATGCTTTCATTGAAAGTAAATTTGGTTTGAAATTTAAGATTTTTAGAACTAAAACACTACCTCCTCAGACCCAAGAGACAACATTATAAATATCCTAAAGTGAATCAGCTATGCTTAAGGCTTATGCATGAAAACAACTAAACTAATGAACAAGGCTTCTGATAAGCACATGGAAGCTAAAACTAGGAAATGAACTGGACCATTTTATGAAGAAATTTACTACTTTCATTGTGTATGATTACTTGAAATTTAATGTGTCCTCTCAAAACCCACATAAGTCATTAAGTTGCCATCTGACAACCATTAATTGCCACAAAGAAAGAAATTCTACCCCCGGCTTCAAGACTGCAGCTTGTACATATGGGTAGTTGGGTAGTCTGACTTTTAAGGTTAGCTACGCTTCTTGGAGTATACTTATCTCCATCAGTCTCTCTTATTCTATTAGCTATATTAATTTAAGTGTATACTGGGCTAGGTTGATAGATAAGCATAATACTGAAACCATATTGAGACATAGATGTGAAACAGAGAGAGAAAAAAAATAAGGTCAGTAGGGTGCGGGCACAACAAGATGAAGCACTTGCCCCCTTAGTGTTCCTTGCAATACTCAAATCTTCATTGTAGTTTCTGATGATGCAGTTGATAACCAGGGAAACTTAAACCCCAGGAAACAGAGATTTGGAAGAGCACTACTGAAGTTACTATTTTTGTTACCTACACACTGAATTGTTAATTGTCATAAACCAAGCAATGAAATATAAAACTGAGCTTCAGATGGTAGGAGTCAGAGGGGATGGAGGTCACCAGGAGAACACGGCCCACTGAATCAACTAAGCGCGGGGCTAATGTGTTCACAGAGACTGGAGTGATAAGCACTGGGCCTGCGTGAGTCTGCACCAGGTCCTCTTATGTTACGACTGTTATCTTGCTGTTTTGTTGGACTCCTAACAGAGCAAGAGGGTGTGTCTCTGGCTCTTTTACCTGCTATTGAGACTCTTTTCCTCCCATTGGGTTGCCTTGTTCAGCCTCAATGTGAGGGCTTTCGCCTTGTCAGTAAGTATTTTGTTTCATCTGACTGTTGGAGACCTGATTCTTTCTGAGGAGGAAATGGAGTGGGAGTAAATCTGGGAGTGGGAGTGGGCTAAGAGGAGAGGAGGGAGAGGAAACTGTGGCTGGAACGTAAAAACAAAAACCAATCAAAATGAGCTTGGCACCAATTAAGTAATTCTTGTATGTGACAACTCCTTACCAAAGGCTTTATGGATACTGAAGAGCCTGTGAAACCCTACACACTCATGCATAGATAATCAGTAAAGAGTTAGAAGGTTGTCACCTTTGTACTGCTGGAGAGACCATTATGAGTAAATGACGCACACACAGTTTGTCAGGCTTAGTACAGTTACCCATGAAGTGTAGCGAAATATCAATAAAAAGGAAGTATGGGCAGGCATAGTGGACACGCCTTTAATCCCTGCATGGGTGGGAAGAGTTGAGAGGGTCTCTGTGAGTTCATGGCCAGCTTGGTCTACACAGCCTGTTCTAGACCAGTTAGGAATACAAAGACCCTGTCTCAAGCAAAACAAAATGAAACAAAAGCCAGTAACAAACAAACAAAAAAGGATCACAAGCAATAGCATTCCAACTGTTAGGAAGTCAATCTTCCTGATAGAGGAGGACAGCGAGAGCTTCCATTGCTGGCAGGATTTCTGCTAGAAGCCTGCTGAATTGTCCTCTGTTGGGTGACTTCCTGCCTCATTTTCATTTGCAAGCAAGCTTGTGCTTCTGTGAAATATCAGCTCAGCCAGCTTAATAGCCCTGGTTACCTTCTCTTTTTGTTTATAAATAAATGTCTCACTAAGCTAGAAAAACTATCTTGAAATCTTTCTTACAGTGTTTCCCTGGGCGTAGCATCCACATAGGGTGCAGCATCCATAGTTAGACCTAGGTATCCACATAGGGTGCAGCATCCATAGTTAGATCTAGGCATCCACCCAGGGTGCAGCATCCATAGTTAGTCCTAAGCATCCACCCAGGGTGCAGCATCCATAGTTAGTCCTAGGCATCCACCCGGGGTGCAGCATCCATAGTTAGTCCTAGGCATCCACCCGGGGTGCAGCATCCATAGTT